TAATTAAATTTGTTTTAGCTTTTCTCTGGCTTGAATACTTGCTGAGTTGCAGTACTCCACTAATTGTGTGAGTTGTTTATACTCCTCCCTTTTGTTTTCAAGAGACAACAACACATATGCATATTGCTTTTACAAGATTAATTTTTTAATGCACTTTATAGTGGAAAAAAAAATCTGAAAGTGTGGAGATCGCATTGGAACAATTAAAAGTTTTTGCTTTTGAGGGGAGAAGAAATAAAGGAAATCACAGTTCTGAAAGATCACATGCTGTTCTCTTTTATTATAAAGGAAATTTCTATCAAAGGACTAATAAGCACTTGCTTTTACATGGGATGCGTACTCTTAGTTATTATTATGTACACTATGCTAAAGCTTGGGGCAGGAGAAGTTACTTGGTGTATGTATTTCTGCTTTTATTGAAGGAAGAGCTAATTAAATCAAAATACACTTAACTCAGTACTGGTAAGAGTATAAAAAAAAGCTATCCAAGAGGAGGTGAGGTGCTTAGGCACAAGGTAGAGAACATCTCATGCTGGACTCTGAATATTATTGCACATATTGGTTTTAATATAGCATTTAGAGCTTCAGCAAAATTTCTGCATTTTATTAAATACATCTTTAAGATGAATATAACTATTTTTTTTTTTCAGATTGAAATAGATAATGGTGATGAGTTAACTGCTGACTTTCTTTATGAAGAGGTTCATCCAAAACAACATGCACATAAGCAAAGTTTTGCTAAACCAAAAGGTCCTGCAGGGAAGAGAGGAATACGAAGACTCATCAGAGGCCCAGCAGAGACTGAAACACCCAGTGACTAGAAACTGTTGTTTGCATTAATTATAGGGCTTTACAGTAAGAAAAAATGAAATCCTGACTTTTGCCAATGAACTGAAACCATTCCATTTATAGATGCTAAAGAAAAAAATGTAAAAAATATTCTTTCTACTTTCCCCTCTTCTGAACTCAGTACTTCCTGTGTTGTTACACAATTATATCTGTTGACCATATCTTACAACGCCTGGAAGAGTTAATTATTTTAAAGGTAGAATACTAAGCTAGTACTCTTTTGTTTTAAATTAGAATCCATTATTTAATAGCAATACACGTGATCATAAACTTCATAGACAAGACTATTAAGCCCACATTTTCTGTGGGTAAGTAGCAGCTGTATGTGTAGATAATGAACCTGTATTTGTATGAGTAGCCTACGAAATCTGCAAGATTTCACTTGTATGAAGAGTTGAAGCTGTCGTTGTCCCAGATAAATCTTTATTTTTCCTGGTAACTTTTATAGACAGTAATGCAACAGAATGTTTTCTTCTGTTTTTTGAGGTGATGGATTGTTGGGTTTGGGTTTTTATACTAGAAGGATTAAAATCCATTATCTATTAGTTTATGCAAATGCTTGTTCAGGAATAGCTTATTTTTATTTTTTCCTGTGCAAAAGCATTGTCATTTCAAATTTACAACTAATTTGGTGGGCTTGTCTCTTAAAGAAATCTGACATAAAACCACTTCAGCTTTTCCAGACTTAGATACCACTCATCAGCCTTATATATTACTGAATGACCAAGTCTGATGTGATAAAATATGCGGTCACTATACTCAGTAAATTATGGAACTGCTTTCAAAGCAGTAAGCTTAAAGTTTCTTCCAAATCATTGATTTTCTGTGCACTTGGATCTAAAACTGCAAATTCAGTAAAAATGGAAATAGACTTGCTTCGTAATGGTGACTTATTATTGAGATCCTTGTGTCATTGCATTATCAACTGCAACTTGAACTTTTGGGGTATTGTAAAACTAAATATTCCTAAATGTTTGAACTTTAATAGTAAATTAAATCTTAAACAAAATCCAAGTAGGACTTTGCCTGGCACTTGGGTAGCACTTTGTGGAATTTGTCTATTTTTTCTGCTTCTCATCTAAACACTGATATCAGCCAGAATATTCTGAACTCCAGTGAAGCATGAGTCATCTGCTTACTAGGAAGAGGAAAAAATAGATGATTTTAACAAGGAGGTTGAAGAAGAGATGTAGAAATCAAATATTGGATGACCTTAAACGTTTTAAAATTGTGTAATAAGGCAAGTTCTAAAGGATAGATTGTGTTCCCTGGTGGGGAACATAATATCTTGCTTCTTAGTGTCCTGTATTGAGCTTTGTATTTTTGATTATTTTTTAATACTAATGGGAGTTGCAAGTCTTGGATCACTGCATATAGGTGTTGGCTGTACACTTAGATATCTGAATCATTTGTTTACCTGATGGAAGGTAGATCTTAGAATAGTTCTGTAAGGAAATAAGGCTTAAACACTACTAGTTCCTGATGAAAACAGTTTTTATCTCACACTATTACGTCATTAGGTGATACTAACTTGTTACTGACGTTTGAAATTGCACTATGTAATATGAAGGTTGCAATAGTTGCTGGTTTTACGGTGGTTTTTTTTTTTTTTTTTTTTCTATATGCAGTAAAGATCTGACACCTCAGCTTTTTTCATTTAATCTTATACACTCCATCAGCCCAATTCAGTAGCGCCTGATGATCCTCAGCTCATCTCCTACCCTCAGCTGCTGTCTTCTTTTTCTGCCTCTTGCCTTTCCCTTTAGGGCAAGGAGCAGGTCTGAGGAATTTTTCTTCTTGTGTACTATATGTCATACAAGCATTATTGTTTTTAAACATTGTTAATGTGTATGCAGCTTGCACACTGTAGCTACATTTATTTTTAGTTGAAATCTGAATCCTATCAGCACCAAATTTTTTTTTTTTAAAAGGTAAATATTTGATTGTAGCAGTTAAAAATGAGTTTGAGAGGGCTTTTTGTTTGAATCTAATAGTCCTGTCTGCATCTCAGCCATAACGAGCGCACATACATTTTTACCCTCATTTGAGCCAGTAAAGAAGTTCAGCTTTTTAATATGAAATATTTTGAATAAGGAACAGTTTGGTCTGATATGGTCATATGCAGGTTGTGGGGTTGTTTTTTTTCATCCCTTAATTCTGCCCTAGGTAAGTGAGGGTGGGAAGTAGAAAGCTTAATCTGGAGGATGGCCAGAGCTGGTTAAGTGATTATATGAATGAGTTTATAACGAGCTGCTGTACAGTTAAACCCAAAGCAGACAATAAGTTATTCTACTTGACTTTAAAATATTTAATGTGATTGTACAGCCAGCCAGCAAAGAGTAATGTCCTGAGTGCATTCCCCTCTCCTTTTTCCATAAAAGAGAAAGCCTGCTAACAGTTCTCTTTGCATTATATAAAGTCTTGCACTGCCAGCTGCCTCTCCTGGCCCTTTGTAGCTATTCTCCTGACAAAGCAATAAGCATCTGATCTTTCTGTAAGAAAGATCTATCATGTTTACATCCGTATAGTTGCCTCACATAACACTACTATTGTTAAAGAATAGTCAGGGCCAGCACAAAGTGAGGGCATTAAGAAAAGTTACTCTGTAAACTGTCTCTGATCATTTCATAATTGAAAGCGTCCATTCAGAATTGTTGTTGGCCTTCATAAATGGCCCAAAGCAATGCAGCTGCTTGCACTTAACTCACAAGCTATTTAATAGCTGCTAATTAACATGACAAGTAATTATTTCTGAAATGTTTATGTTGCCAAGTAGGGAGAAATTGATCTAATAAACCTCCTGTCAGGAGTTTGTAAAACTAATCAAAGTAATAATTGCTCTATCACACGGATAAACACACTGATAAAGGAAACTTTTGATTTACTGTGTCTGTGTATTCAATGAAAAACACCTTCAGATGTTGAAATTATCTATTTTGTAATCTACTTTATAAATAAAGATTGATGCTTTAGTTGATGTTGTCTGAATCATTTTGTGTTTTGTCTTTAACAAAGATCTATAGTTGAACATCATGATGTGTAAGGAACAGGAGGCCCTGCAGCATTAAAAGCAGTAGGAAAAAGTAGGTAAGAAGGGGAGGTGGGCAAACAAAATTCCTGACTCTTGCTGTTGGAGACTGATGACATACAGTCAGACAGCTACTTTCCTGGTGCTCCTCCACAGCAGTATCTAAGCACACTCAGCTACTGAGGGTTTTCATGCTACTTCAGAAAGTTCAGTCCTTTTAAAACACTGAAGCTGATCAGTAATCTAAAAGTTTTATCCACTGTTAACTGCTCAGCATGCAGCAGTATAATTAAACTGTTCAGATGATGATGTTTCCTTAATGTTTTTTTTTCCTCTAAATTGAGAAAAATTAGTTTGCTTCTCGTCTTTCTATTGCCCTCAGAGAACATTCAGTGTTTTAGCTTTTCTTTTAACATATCCCCACGGGGAGGTGCACGATGTGGTAATTTGGTGGTGAGAGAAGGAAGGTTTTGGATGCTTTGAACTAGGAATCGAGACAATACTTCTAATGCAAAGGTAATACAAAACAAAAAACAAAAAACAACCCAGCTACTTTTCTACCAGGAACACAGAGGAGAGGAAGCTCAGTACTGTGTGAGCATGAATATCACAGACTTATTTGTAGTTCATCCCCTTCAACTCAGCTGAGCATCCCAAATACAAAGATGAGACGATTCTTCACATTTCCATACGAATAAGAAATACAGTGGCTGATGAAAAGTGTGTAGGCTCAGAAGGAAACTGGACAAAGAAGAGAGAAAATCAGAGGTGTAATGAGCAATGAAGACCTTGAATCTTTCTCAAAAAGTTAATGAGCTGCAACCTATAAAACCATAATGCTCCACTGAAGTAGCACTGCCTACATACTGTCACAGTCACCTATCCCTTAGCAGCCACTACAGACTCACATCCCAACCACTTGTGGCTGTGCAGACCCCTCTGACCCACAGCACATTTCCTAGCATCTCTGGCTGTAGCCAAGGAGAGAACTGTTGCCCTTCATATACATATATATATATATAGGCAACAACATGGATGTATTCTAGCCCTACAGCAGTAAGAAGCAGAAAAAAAATCTAGTAAGAAACCTTCAAGTAACAGCAAGAAGAGTTGTTTAAAAGAATTACTTAAACAGATTTTATTCTCATTTCTAGCAGCTTTTTTTTCCCCCTGCCAGCATTTGAGGTCCAGAAAATATGTTATGTGAAAATAACCTCTTTCACTGAGTAGGTGAGCAGTAGTCTGCTGGTCCAAAGTATCTGGAATCTTATTCACTTCATTCAATTTTGAGTCTGCTTTGATATGTCAATCTTTAAATAAAGCCACCCAAACAAAAACCACCCAAACAAAAACCTCAAAACACAGAAAGCTTTCTGCAGTAAGTTTGTGTATTTTTATACTTCATTAATATACATACACGTAAGTAAGAGCTTAGTGATTTGACTAAGGAGAATGCAGAATTAGTCCTAACTTATTGACTCCTTTAACAAAATAAACCATCAATATTTGCAATATCTCACATGGACTTTTCTCCTGACACATAAAATAAGAAGTAACTGTACGTCTTCCTATGAACAATGATTAAATGGTTCACCAGCAGAGCTCACCAGAAGAAAGCCACACATTTCTGCATTTGCACTGTGATGTAATTGCCCTGCCTGCAAAACTCAAAATCTAACAGATGTTCTGCAGCACTTATTTGAATGAAATAAATCCTGAGAAGGCTTTCTAAAAAATAGTCACATTCACGGGTGTTACCAGTTCGTTCACACTAATATGAACTCTCAAGCTAAAATGCTAAGTTTGTTTAAATGTGGGTACTGTTATTGCCTTCTGCCAACAAGATAACATAAGTGCCATTTACATCTACTAAACGTTTTTGTGTTCAGTAAAGAAAGGTCAAGTAGGCCTTCTCAAGAAAAGAAATTGCAGAAAAAACATCCACCTTGTTACTCTCACATTGCTTTGCTAAAGATACTTGATACGTGGCAAGGAGAAGTCAAAGAGATGGTAATACAGAAATGTGTTTAAAAACCTATGTAAAGGCTGTATCAGCAAAGCAGTTCGTTTGTTTATATCAAAAGAAAAGAAAAAAAAGCTTTCTCATGTTGAGGGTCCTGTGGCTATAGATGCATGAAAAGATGCCCAGTTAACAAAAAGAAAAAAAAAATTAAAAAATAGCATGGTGTCAAGCCACCTGCATGTCTTATATGTGGACCAGAAAGTTCTGAAAAGCAGAAAGGCTGATAATGTCACAGTAAGTGCTGATATAATTCTCTACGTGCTCCTGGTCTGCACTCCATTTAGACAACAGGTGCATCAGAAATGCATGTCACGTTTTTATCTCTTGTAAATACTGGTGGACCTGCAAGAGAACAGCGAGAAGTACAAGTAACTGACACCGTAACTACAAACACCAATGGCTAAAAATAAGCCTTCAATCTGACAGCTACATACCATCTGAATATTTGGCCTCCTGTTTTTTTTCTCATTCAGACACTGATCAGCAAGTGAATACATTTTATGAACTGAAGCTGCATCCCAGTCACTCATCTTTACATCGACATAATCCTCTATTGTCGCCTCCTCATCCTCAATTTCATCCTTGATACTTAACTACAAGAGTTGGAACCAATGAGCAGAGAATACTGTTAGCATCTGAAGATCATGAATTCCACACGAACACTTTCACAACCTGCTTTTCAGTGTTCTTCATTTTTCTCAATCACTTTTCTAGACAAAGAATAACAACAATGGTTGGGTAGCATAATTATTCATCAGTATCTACCAAAACAATTTACAAGTGTGTAAGAAAAACTTGTTTTTGAAGTTAGGGATGCCATATTGTCTCACACTACCCACTCCTTGTGCTCCCAAAAGAACATTAGAATAAACAGGTACCAATCAAATCAGAATCTAAAATGGAGTATAAAGTCTATCTTGTGGAAAAAAAAAAAAAGCCTGCTTTTAAAAAGAAGATAAGGAAAGAAGAAAAAAGCTCAAGGATTGTATCTGATAAAGATTTGGGTTCTCCAAGGCCATCACGGTTTAGGAGGATAAATATTAGGCCACTCCAGAAGATACAGCTTAGAGAAAGTACTCTATTAATAGCACACAGGTATTCCTAAAGCTGTGTATGTGTAAGAGGGTGATCAGCTATCAAATGGTGTGGAACAAAACCAAACCAAAACTCAGTGCTATTTCACACTTAGTAAACAACTAAGTCTCTATATGGAAAATCCTGGATTAAGTAACTTGAAATTTAAACTAAATGAAAGGCTAAATTAAGAGAAAGTTTATAAAATTTTTGATTGGAAAGAGTAAGCTCAGAGATATAGTTTCCAAATTAGCACGCTGAATTTCTAATTGAACATTAAAAGCAAAACATCCCAAAACAGCCCTTACATTCCCAATTTCCCCAAGGCCAAAAACCAAGGTATTTGCAAATAACTAGGAAAGTTGGAGAGGATGAAAAATGATACAAGACTAGTAAGAAGCATAAAGAATCAACTGAGATGAATACTTTAAAATATTCTGGTGAAAGAGGAACTATCAGAGTATCTGGTAAAACAAGAGTATGCTGGTAAAGCAAAATAGCATTGCAACAAGAAACAGTATCAGAAAAAAGAGAAATATAATACAGATTGGAAGACCATGGGGACTGGACACTTTCCTACCAGCTAAGAGAAAATGCTTAACTTCTAAAACAAAGACTGATACAAAAGCAATTTACTTAACTATTCATCAAGAGATGTAATTTGCTTGTCTCACTACCTGTTAACTGATGACTATTTTACATGAAATAATCCTGAAGGGAGGAAGAAAGCAGAAAAATAAAAATACCAGTAACTGTGGTTCCCGGTTTTCATCTACTGGCGGCAGACCTGTTATTACTTCTAGTAAGACCTAGAAGAAGAAAAAAAAAAAATCAGAAGAGAAGAATACATTAATCCTCAACGTAGAAACTGTTTGAAAAGAGGAACATGATCCTCAGCCTTTCACACAAACACTCACAGGATCAGTACCTGTCCCATTGCACAGCCCACTACACAACTGATTGTTTTTGATGTTCCTAGCCTTCTTCTCATCATCTGCTATAAGCAGTGATGTTTGGCACTTTTCCACACCCTACACTGTGGTGCCTCTAAACAAGATGGAAGAATTTCCCAGATACTCAGATACAGAATTTGGCTTACATCCCTATGAAACCAAATGCCGCAAAGAAGGGAATGGATTCATTTTTCTCCCAGACAGCAAACAGTTGTTTGGGTTTTTCTGACTGGATATTCACTGTACTCAGCTTTGAGTCAAACCCCACACTGACACCATCCATTTGGTGACGAAACTCACTTTGGATTGTTTTCTTTAAGATTTTCAATCACCTTTGTGTGAAATACTATGCAAGAAGTAGAAATGTTTTATGTTCATTTAAGCTAGCTAGAACTTGAAATGTTATTTTTGTCTGGTCTTCCACACACAAATTCACACTTTAAGATAAGCACAGCAAGTATCAGCAGGTGCAACATTTTAATCAACATATTTGAACGCTTCTAAACCACTCAAAGAGTAGAAACACTATTTAAGTGCACATGCACAGGGAGAAGGAGAAATAATAGATCAAAGTGGATTGTTTAATTTCAAATACTCTTGATTTTGTACACTTCCACCAATATTAAATCAATCAATAGAAAAATACAATCACATACAGCTCCCCTCATTCTACTTACTACCCCAAAGCTGAAGATATCAGATTTAGGAGTTATTTCTCCTCGCAGAGCTTCAGGTGCCATATAGGCTGCTGTTCCCACAACTCTATCTGTCATGATGGTTCGTGTGAACGTTACTGATGCTCTTGCAAGTCCAAAGTCCGAAATTTTGGGCACATACGTCTCAGTTAATAAGATATTTGCACTGGTGAAGAGGGGAGAAAAATGAAAAGAGTTTTCCAAAACAGTAAGTGGGTTTTAATACAGACTAACAACTCTTTAGTAACCAAATGCAAACTGCTATTCTGAATGTTTCTAGAAATAACAGATAACCCCAACAAAACACAAAAGAAAAACACAGCAAAATTGAGTACCAGAGCATGCTGGAATTCTTAACCTCTACTGAGAACTAATAAAAGCTGGCTTTAATGGTTTATACCTATTATCTAATAAAATGTCAACTGTTACAAATTCCAGTGTCAAATGATTATCAATACTTGTTTTCTCCTGAAAGAGAAACAATACTGCTTAATGCTGGAACAATCTATGCTCGGTGTTTTTATCTCCAGCTTTTTACTGGTCTTACAGAAAATCTGAACAGTGAAAACGCAAGAAGTTGCAAAATGGAATCAAAGCAAAAGAAAAACAAAGCCAAATTCCATCCTGTAATACAATCAACTCACAGCAGTTAGAAAAGTAGAGCAGCATAAGGTAAGAAAACGCGTCCCTTCCAAGCACTGTGCATGTCCTGATGCTTAAGCAGGAAAGAAAGAAGAAACACGAGTTGTCAAAGCAGCAAGTACCTTTTATGGGTGAGCTGAAGCAAAAACTACTTCCTCACAGAATGGAAGTTCACAAAACCTATACAGCCTACATTTAGCAGAGGTGTCAGAAGCCAGAAAGCCACTGAAACATTCATCCATGACACCCAACCCATCGGTTGCTCCTTGTCAACCTACAAAAGAAGTGGGGTATCTGTGTCTAGGCATTTTCTTGATACATTTTGACTGCTTTGTCATAGCAAAAAAACCAAACCAAACAAACAAAAAAAAACCAACAACCAAAACATCAAACTTGCTGTAACAAATAAGTGGACATAAATCAACCTGAAGGGTCCTTAAGCTTCATAAACCTGATTTAAGTCATTTTAATGTCTTCATATTAAATAGAAGAAAATAAAGGAGGCACTCAGAAATACTCTAGGAAAAAAAAATACAGTGGGTTTTAATCTGAAAAATTCCCAATTCAAAAATGTTCTGTGACAGCAGCTTTTTTGTTAGCAGCAATTGCAAAAGAACAGAACTCCTACGCCCCTTTGCAGTGCTCAGATAACATTTGAAAGTGACAGATTACAACAGACTCATAATTATCTTTAGAAGCCTGTATAGTCATGTCCTTGTGGCACAGACAAGATTATGGTGATGGATAGCACTTGCAGAAAGGATTGCTTCCCTGAGTAAAGCAAGTAAATCTTTCAGTCTCTTTTCTCTAGCAGACTTTAAAAGGGTACAACAACAAAAAAAGCACCCAATGAGTGTCAGTAGCTTTTACCTTTTAATGTCTCTGTGAATATGATTATTGTCATGCAAAAAGTTGATGCCACTCGCAGTACCTTGAGCAATTTCACACCTTGTATTCCAAGAAATTGGTGGAGTGCCATCCTTGAATAAGAATAGAGAAAGGAAAGCATAAATGTGAAAATCCAAAGTATATTTTTTCTAATAACACAAAATAATAAAAAAAAAACAATCCAGAACAATTACATGCTACATTTTATGGCTTTCAAGTAATTACTTTTAAAAAGATGGATGGTATAGATCTCTCAATTTACCTTTGCTGAGATATAGCCATTTGTCACCTTTAGTTCTCTTCCCCACATTTTGCATTAGATTAATTCACCTGGTACAAAACAGTTTACATTTAACTCTGACAATAAAAGATAAGCTGCGCTGCAAAGAACTACCTGCACCTACCCACACACTGTGCTTTCTATCAGCACTTCTTAATCCTGTCATAGTATCCTGCTGCCTCTCTCGCCTGCTCCTCAAAGCCCAGACAAGAAGCAGATGACATAAGCAGGAGTTAGCAAATTCACTGTGACTCCTGCTTTATCAGCAAGAACATAGTCAGTATACACATTCATCATGCATTTTACCTTACCAGATGAAGACTCTGAATTTATATTGTAAATTTGTCCCCTTTGTACCTTTGTTTTCTACTTTAGCTTTCAGTTACCACTATTCTTTCCAGCTCACTTACTGCTAATGGTAAGCAAGTGGATGGATGAACATCACACCCCTATTGAGGACAGTAATTTCTACAGGTTAGCTTTCACAGACTAACACAAACTGATGTGGACATTCAGCTAGCAGGTTACATCCAGCATACTGTTTGCATCACTCTAACAAGTGGCAACTTCCCTCCACCAAACAAAGTCACTGATTCCTTATTAAAGGCCAGGGCCACAAGATACGTCATTTGATTAAATCAGATGAAAGCACAGTATCTACACAAAATATTAATTTTAAAAAGTACACCCTGTTTCTTTAAGCACTTCCAAAAGAGATACGCAGACTATGAACATCACGTTACAGCTATTATCACAAGGGCAGTGAGCAAAGGGCAATTTTACAACACAAAATCTAGGAACAAGCAGAGAACAAGTCAATGTCAGATGTAGGAACAATACTGCAGCACCCTCCGCTCGTAGCAAATCTACAGCACAGCACGGACTTCAGGATACTGGCATATTACATTATATTGCTACTCTGCTTTGATTAAGCGACACTGGGCCAAAAACATCTATATGCCATGTTATTGGAAGACTAAGCATTATCATATAAGTCTTACTTCCAGAACACAGCAGTAGCAGAATACTGCTTAGCCACTACAGTTCCAAAGATATTTCAAAAATAGCTCCACTTAAAAAGATTTTACTTACCAGACAAGCAAGTCTGTCAAGCAGCGAACCATTGGGCATGTATTCATACACCAAACAGGGCTGAGCACCATCACTTGAGAAACCAAGCAATTCTACTAGATTTTCATGTTTACACCTAAAGCAAAACAATTCTATTCAGAGATGCTCTGCAAATCTCCTAACATTTGTGATCCCCAATCCCACACTCCAGCCTTCTCACACACAGGTACCAGCCATGTTTCTGCAGCAGTACTTAAATGTAAACTGCTTGTGATATGTGTGAAACATTCTCACTTAAGCTGAAAATTTAAGTTACACTGATAAAACAAAAAATAGGGACCATACTAAGGTGTTATCTGCCAACTTAGATTCTCTGAAAATGTTACAGTGACATTTATGGTCCTGTACTTACTTTGCCATAATTTCTATTTCTTGATCAAATTGCTGTTTCAAATCCTGTGCACTAACATCAACCACCTACAAAGAGAGTACTTGACATCAATATTGCTGGATGTATTAAAATGCATGATTGCTCACAAAAAGATTAATATGTAAGCTTTTTTTTTTAGTTAGTTACACATTACAACTGCTTAACTGTTTACTAGATTTTTTTTTTTTGTCTTTGAATTCAGTTCAAAAAAAGTATCAGAACATGGTCTTTAGTTTTTTGTATCATGTAACATTATATTATTGGAGTAACTAATACAGTTTCAGTTTCAGCAGTCACCAAGTTACCATAGCAGGGCTTGGGTTAGACCCTTAAGACCATCTCATTCCAACCCCCTGCCTGGGCAGGGCTGCCACCCACCAGACTAGGCTGCCCAGGGTCCCATCCAACTGGCCTTGACCACCTCCAGGGATGGGGCACCCAAAGGCTCCCTGGGCAGCCTGCACCAATGCCTCACCTCCCTCACAGCAAAGAATTTATTCTGAATATCTGATCTAAACCTACCCTCGTCCTGTCACTACACGCACATGTAAAAAGTCCCTCTTCAGCTTTCCTATATGCCCTCTTCAGGTACAGGAAGGTTGCTATATAATATCCTCAAAGCCTTCTCTTCTCCAAGCTGAACAAGGCCAGCTCCCTCAGCCTGTCTTCATAGGCTCCATCTCTCTGATTCTGATCATCTCTGTGGCCTCCTCTAGACCCACTCCAACAGATCCATGTTCTATTGCTGGACAGCCCAGACCTGGATGCAGCATTGTAGGTGGGGCTCACAGAAGCAGAGTGGAGGAATACAATCATGTACCTTACCCTTCTAGTTACTCTTCTTATGATGTAGCCCAGGATACAGTTGGCTCTCCAGGCTGTGAGCACAGATTGGCAGTTTATGCTGAGGTTCAACCAGAACCCTTCTCCTCAGGGCTGCTATCAATTCATTTTATATCCAGCCCATGTTTGTGTATTTTATTTCACTGCAGTTTCCTATCACTAGTTATAAAATATGTTATTCACAGAAAACATCTGTTACAAAGACTAAAATTATATGGTAATACCTATTTAGTTTATTTTGTGTGTCAATCTCCCAATGCACTGTGCCACAGAAATTAGAAGAGAAACCTCTTCTGCCCTTCCTGTGGGCAGGGGGAAGAGGGGAACGAAGGGAGCACCCTGCTCTTCCCAAGGACTGTCTGAGCCACTGCAAGAACTATAAAAATACAAAATTTCACCTCTGGTCACTGTGACAGCTCACACCACCCACAGAACTACACGACAATATTCTGAACCCAACTTATATTTAACATGGTGATACTTTCTGGAAATGTATTACTCAACTCTTCATAGATGATCAAGTCTATACTATCAATAACAAAGTTATTAGTTGGAAAAATGTTGAGGACAACTCACAGCAGCAAGCTTCTTGACAGCCACATTTCTGCCATTGATGTAGCCTTTGAACACAATGCCAAAGCCACCTTCCCCCAGCTTATTTCCTCCAGCTGATTCTGGTCGTTCATCAAAATTATTTGTAACACTTTCCAAGTCGTGAAAGCAAAAATTGTGGAAATCTAGAAGACACAATTGACATTTAGCACAGAACCACATTTTCACTCAAATAACAAGCATATTAAATAGATCCTCTACTTGCTACAACACGAATCTTGACAGAATGGAACCCTGTTGTCAGAGATGATGAAGATACCATTAAAAAAAATGCAAATACATACATGTAATCAGCTATGCGTAACTTTGTTCTCCGATGGTGTGTTGCAGCCTTCTGTGGGTTTTTTTTAATTAATGCTCATAATACAGGTAAAATAAACTAAACATGAAGCAGATCACAGAGAAAGCCACACACTGTGTCAGATGTAAATATATAAACACCACGTTTCTGGCAACAAAAGTTGAAATGCAGAAAGCAGTGGACCAATTATATACTAGATTACTTTCTTCAGTCAACTTTTTTCCAAACTTCTTAGTCATTTCTGATAACTAAGATCCAAATTCAAAGCACAAGGTGCAAAACAGTCTACAAAATCAGTACTGAAAGAAGGCAACGGAATTACCTATAGAACAAAACAGATAACAATTTCACTGAAGCACAGTACTATAGGGGTTGGAAGGGACCTCTGGAGTTCATCTAGTCCAACCCTCTGCTAAAGCAGGTTCCCTACAGTAGACTGCTCATCTGGATGCTCTCCTGGGTATTGAACAACTCCTGAGAAGGAGACTCCACAACCTCTCCCCGGTTTTTCCCCATGTTCAGATGGAACTTCTTGTGTTCCTATTTGTGCCCACTGCCCCTTTTCTGTCACCATACACAGCCAAAAAGAGCCCAGTTCCACACATGCAAGAGTTGCCCATTAGATACTTAGAAGGATTGATAAGATCCCTTCTTAGTCTTCTCCAGGCTGAACAGGCATCTCAGCCTTTCCTCATAAGGGAGACACTTCAGGTCCCTCATCATCTTTGTGGCCCTTTGCTAGACTATCTCTAGAAGTTCCCTGTCTTTCTTGAACTAGGGAGCCCAGAACTGGACACAGTGTTCTAGATGTGGCCTTACCAGGGCAGAGTAGAGAGGGAGGATCATCTCCCTCGACCTGCTGGCCACTCTCTTTGTAACACGCCCCAGGATACCATTGGCCTTCTTGGCCACAAGGGTACACTGCTGGCTCATGGCCAACCTGCTGTCCATCAGAACATGCTGGTCCATCTCTGCAGAGCTCCTTTCCAGCAGGGCAGCCCCTAACCTGTACAGATGCATGTGGTTATTCATCCCCTAGTGCAGGACTCTACACTTCGGGTTGCTGAACCTCACACTGTGGCACTAGTGTGGCTACATAATATCTCATTTTCTGGTGTCTTATTTGCATAGGCTGTATTCACAGTCAGAGAGAACAAGATCGAAAAGCAAAAAGCACGAAGACACAAATAGTCATTACTCCATTGCATTCCTAGGACTTATTTCACACAGGTGAAGGTCAGATCAGCAAAAAACACTAACTCATTTTAACAAACTAAGCACCTACCTGTGTTACTAGATTGTGTGCTGCTGTTTTCTTGACTTAAACATGGAGGGACTGAAGGTTGCTTCTCTGTATTCTGAGACAAAACAGGCTTTACAGATGTCACTTCTTTTTCCTGTATAGGCTGTTGTTTCTCATGTACAGGCAAAGTTTCCTGTGAAGAAAGAGGTAATGTAACTTCCTGTGCCATCCCAACAGCTTCTGAAAATGGAATTTAGAAAAAGTGTTAACCAGATTAGAAATCAGAAAACATAAATAACATTATGCCAGTATTTACTAAGGTTATATTCTTCCACCGCATGTAAACTGCAGGGCTTTTATTTCAACTTGGAGAATTCTAGCCCACTTCCATAAAACTCTTACTGTAAATAATGTAAAATATATCCTCTTTTGGTTATTTTCATCTAATCCTTTCTGATCGTCCAGTTACTGTGAAGGTCACTAGCATCATACAGACATGGGAACACAGCACAGAACATATACGGGTAACAGTTACCTGGAAGCAAAAGACTTGCTGGTGCCAGAAACTGGTTCCTAATCAGCAGATCCACAAGGTCACCAACCGTACAGTTTGTTGTTCCCCAGTCATAAAGCAATTCAAACGTGGGACTCTTTCCCATTTGCGCAAATGCTTCAAATCTCCTTAAAAAGAAAAATTAAAGCTAACTTTGAAAAGAAAAGTAACAGGGAGAACCACCAAGAAAGGAGTGTAATTAATGGTAAATAAAAAGACACAAAATTCACCATGTAATGAACTGTACTTCAGCGGTACAAGAGAAGTACTGCTACATACAGACCTTATGAAAGCGCAAGTACAACCCCCCATACATGAAATGACACCAAAGAAATGCAAACTTGGGTAAAAATACACATTCTACGTTTGTCCACAGCAAATACTCTGTGGGGCTTATTCCGATTTCCTCAGTCAGTTCTCTGTGGCTCTCATAGAACCGTTTGAGTTGGAATGGATTCTTAAAGGCCATCCATTCCAACCGCCCTGCCCTGAACAGGGACACCCACAGCCAGGTCAGGCTGCTCAGCACCACGCCCAGCCTGACATCGAATGCTCCAAGGATGGAGCATCCACCACATCTCTGGGCCCCTGCTCCTGTACCTCTAAACTGTTAGTGCAAAAGACTTCTTCCTTATATCCAACCTAAATCTCCCCTCTTTAAGTCTGACACCATTTCCCCGTGTCCTATCACCACAGACCCCTTGAAGAGTCAGTGCCCTCCTTTCTCACAGCCCCTTCAGACACCGACAGGCCGCCTGAGCTCAGCTCTCCCCGCAGCCTGCCCCTCTCCAGGCTGAACAGCCCCAGCTCTCTCAGCCTGGCACGACAAGTCTTAATTGTGTCAAAAGCAAACTAGAGAGGAACTACGAGGCACAGAGTTCCGTCGGGAAGCACTGTGTGAGGCACGTTCCGAGCGCTGCTGTGCACAGGCCGCCGCAGGCACACACGTCAGACACAGGGATGCCCGTCCAGCGGCGGTGAACGCGGTTACGTCACGGGACGGCCACGCCAGACCTGATGTGCGCCTGGCTGTATCTGCTCTCTCCGGCCGGGTCGGTGATGGCCGCGGCCAGCCGCTTCCAGCCCTCCTGCGGGTCGAGGAAGTCGGCCAGCTGCCTCAGCAGCCCGTAGCGCAGGCTGCGGACGTAGGTGGCGGCGGTGACCGGCTGGCTCATGGCGGGACCAGGAACCGCCGACGGACGGGGCAGAGCCCCGGCTACGTAGCCGGAACTCGATCTCCCCGCCGAGGCTGTTCCGAAGCCGTGACGCAACCTCCGCCGCACCGCCTCCCGCTTCCTGCAGCGAGGAGGACCCACCCTCCCGCAGCGCGCCACGGCCGGCAGGCGAGGTTGGGGGGGGGGGAACTGTTCGCCGTTCCCCCTCTCCTGGACGAGGTAGCGGTGGCCGGGGGGTCGGTACCAGCGGCGCCTCCTGGCGGCCGCTCTGGGAGCCGGGGCGGCTCTGCCTGCAGTCGGCGGTAGGGGGATGATTTCCCTCTGTTTTCTGTTTTCCCTCTTTTTTTTTTAAATTTTTTATTAGTATTGTTATTAATTTTTTCTCCTCTCGCAGCGGCGGGCAGGGGAGTCATGCTGCGCTCCCTCAGTTACGTGACCGATCACACCGGCTTCCGCGGGACAATCAAGAAGGCGCCCGCTGACTTCGTGGTGCGGGAACTGGAGCTGCCGCAGCGCCCCGCGCCGCCCCGGGACCTCAGCCCGCCGCAGCCCAACCCGCCGGCAGGGCGACCGCCCGCTGCCTCCGCCACAGCCAGCGCCGGGGCTGAGGGCGCGGCGGTGCCGGCCAGCCGTGACCCCGTGACGTACCCTGAGCGGAGCCGGCGTGCTGCGGGCTGGAAATCCGGCCCGGAGGCAGCCGCTCTGTTGGATTCCCTTTTGGGAAAGCCCGCGAGCGAAACGCTTACTAAATTTGCTTGTGATCTGAAGGAAGCGTGGGACTCGGAAAGGGGTTGTGATGCCGGCGCCGGGGAGTTCTCTCTGGGAGCCGTGGTGGATAAGAGAGATCGGGCCGATTTGCACGGCGCCATCAGGCAGAGATTCCCCTTCTTGGTCACTGTGACAAAAGACAACGAAATGGTTGTGAAAGGGAACGCTGACTACAGAGAACTCTGTCAGCTAGTGACTGAAAAGGAAACAAGCGATTTCTTTAAATTTTTAGATGCCAAGCTAGAAAATTCCACCTTTTCTTTTGAGCCTGATGGAAATAAGGAGCACAGAAAAATAGTTCACCACTTCATCAATAAAAAATTTGGGAAAATTTTAGAAACAAAGTCTTTCACTGTGGCAGATGTCAATTGTAAGCCAAGTATGTCAATAATGGTGAGGTTTAGAGGGAAAAGTTGCTCCAGAAAGAGGTCTGCTGATGGCTTCCAGATAAAAGAAGATGTTTATACAGGTAAACATTACATTTTTAGTGGAAGTGTGAGGTGCTGTGGTGTTCTGCAGTAATACTGACCATCAGAATCATTTTAGAATGGTCAGTGTGGTCCAGTATGTGGATTTAAGAAGATGTGGGCAGCTTAGCGAGTTCAGATTTAATTTATGATCTCATTTCTTAATGGTGTTGCTAGCACAAAGTCAGGTTACTGGAATTGCATTGCATTTGATCAGGTACTATGAAAGCCAGCATCGGGGTTTTTATTGTTCTCACTTTTGTTTATTGTGCCTTTATTCTTTTCTTTCAATACTGAAAATGTCCTGTTTCCTTTAGTTCTGTGGAGTGGGAGTTGTCTCTGCAATTGTCATGCTGTTATGGTTTGAAAGGAAGAACCTGCAATCTGCTATGGCAGAGCACCTGTATGATTTAGAAGTGCAAATTTCTAATAATTCTGAGATGATTGTTTCAGCTTTCACCCTTCAGAAAGAAAATCTAGAAACACTGGAAGCAATCAGCTTCTTGGCTGCTGAACTTGGAGTTCTTCCCTCAGACTTCAGTTACACCGGCATCAAAGATAAGAAGGCTATTACGTACCAACTGATGGTTGTGAAGAAGGTTACTCCTGAGAGGTACTGACAATCAGGGTAGGACTATTCTAATTTGCTATTAAGTACCAGCAGAGTGCAAGCTGCTGCAAAGTTCCTAATGCTTTGACTTTCCCTCCTCCCATCTTAGACCACAGTGGCAATGGCTTTAATGTTTTGTGGCTTCAGGGTATATAGAGTGTAGCATTGAAGTCCCCCAGTGGAAATTTAAAGAAAAATTTTCTTGTCGTACTATGAATATACAGTATTATCTATCCTTCCAATTCTTGATCATGTGACCCACTTCTTAATTTAAGTTCACCCGCTAGCTGGAAGAGAGAGGAAACCTATACAGAACCAACAGTTTTATCTTGTGGTTCACAGACAACAACATAACCACCTTACAGAGATTAAAAACAAACAAGCAAAAATACCTTTAAAGTAAATAACTGAAGTTATACTTTGGACAGATGCTTATTTTGAGTGTTGAATATCAACTTCTATTATATTGTGCATCACAGAAACATGAGACTAAGCAAAGAAGATGTCAGCATGCATGAGGATAGGAAATACATTCTGGATAACTTGCTGATAACACATTCTCATTTTTTGCCAACTCGGTGGGTAAAAAATAAGTATTGAAGTTCTGCAGTTGCAGTAAAAAAAATTGCTGGTATAAAAAACACAACTTATTTCTTCCTCAACTTTAACTTTCAAATAAAAGAAAGTAGAATTTATGCTTTCAGGGTTCAATACTAACTCAAACAACTATCAACAGTAAATTCCATTGCAAACTAGGCCATTTGTTCAAGAGTATTAGCAAAATGGTTGCTTCCAAGCTGCTGGTTTATCAGGAAAAATGATTTACTGCAGTGTTAACGTGTTGTTTAAAATGTAAGCTGAAAGTTTCCCTTCAATTTAATTACTTTCTTATATATAAGAACAGAGAGATTGAGTGGATACTTTAAAGGGCAAATACTTGAGCCGTCAGCTGCATTTCCAATTACAAGCATGTGCAAGCATACTCAGAGAATTGGTGTTCTGAGTTTGTTTCTTTAAGACTTATTTAACAAGAGCGAGCAAATTGTTTTGGAGACTGCTAGAGTGGCAGACATTGCTTTTTCCTTTTTCTTTTTCTCCTCTCTTACTCTCTTTTTCTTCTCTCATCTCCTGTTCTCTTTTCATGAAAAGCAAATTTCTAGGACTTCTAGCTTCTTTGTTCAATAAAAAGAATAAAATTCAGTTTGGGTGCCTTGAGAATGTTCAGTGAATTGCTTAATTCCCATACCTGTCAAGCTACAAAACATAACTGAAGCAAATAGTCTGAAGATATTTATGGACTGCAGCTAAATTTTTACACTATCTCTAAATTTGACTTTACTTTCTCTGTTTTAAATCTCTTTTGAGCTCTATTAAATCTTTTTAATTCTAATGCAAATGTAAAGAAGACATTTTATTACAAGTTGTATAGCTTTAATTGCAGGTGGCTCATATTTTCTCCCAATTATTTATGCAGGTTGAAAGACATTGAAAGCAAACTGGAAAAAAAGGGCATGAGAATACACAACATACATTCAGCACACCAGCATCTTAGACTTGGTCAGCTGAAAGGCAATCACTTTGATATAGTTGTGAGAGATCTCAGACACCACAGTCATGATTCTCCCGTAGATCTGAAAGAAAGAATATCTGAAGCAATGGAAAATATTGAGGTAAAAAGCCACTTGGCTGCAATAAAGAGCAGGGTTGTAATGGCAGAATAATAGCAATATTTCCTTCCTTGTGACACTTTTTTTGCTATTTTTGCAAAGCTGCCTCCTGAAAGGTGACCACGTGTGCATTCATTTTGTGTTATGGATCTCAATCCCTAACATGGTGCAGAAAGACAAATGGGATGTTTGGTAGTAAATGAGTATTGATATATGGGCTATTGTGGCACAGATCTAAGGCCAACCAAAGTGCTGTGTTTTACAGCACTTTTAAAAAAATATACATGTCAACTTTTTGCCTTTTCTGGTCATGTGAACAAAATACATAGTTGGCTTCAGGGAAAAAAAATATGTATATTTCCATGACACAAATACATCTGAAATGTCTTTAGAAGACAAAGAAGATTGTTTGAAATTCAGTGGATTTTGACTGTAGACTCACCCTGAAGAAAATCTCATCATCAGGCATTCTTCAATCACTGAGAAGTATAGAAGAAAATCATGAAAGAGAAAAAAGTTTAGGCGTTTTCTATGGCACTAATTTTCTTAACCTTTCTTTCTAAGCAATAACTATTATGCAGATTAAGATGATTAATCCTGAAATAAAGACTTCAATGAAAGCAATCTAGTGTGCAAAAACAAAATAAATGATATGTACTGTAGAAAATTTTGGAAATTAGTTTTACTACTGAAAAAAAAGAACACACAACCAAGTGGTTCTTTAATGCTCTTCTGTCTTCTGCATCTCCCTTTTTTTGTTTTGCTGTTTGGGAAAATGAACAGAAATTCCTTTGGTGTCCTGCTTTCTTAGAGTTAACCTATTCAGATGAGATGATGAATGACAGAAATGGCATCTGTATTGATCCAAAATAAGGATTTTTCATCCTCCATGGAAATAAAATTGCATGTTGGTCCTAGGGGAATCCAAAACAAGGTTATATAATTTGAATTGACTTTCTGCCCCATGGATATTTGTTAATTATTCTTTTTGTTTTAGAAAAGGGTAGAGGTCACGTGGTGGTGATTTTGCTGCCCTCATGTGACTTACCACTCATCAGGAGATTTAAAATCCTGGTTAGCAGAAATGCTTACTCTTGCTCTTTACTATGTTAATAATCATGCAAACAATCTCATGAGAAAGAAGATGAGAATTTTAAGGAAAAAATATCCAACAGCTGCTACTGTTCATTACATCTGCTATGCTTCGTTTGCTTCAGTAGAGATTTTATAATTCGGCACATAGAAAGAGCTCAATTACTTTGACTTGAACTGTAGTAGTGCTTATAATAATTACACAGAAATTTCCTTGTTTCATTTATCTATTTTTTTAAAAAGGAAGAGAAGATAAGTCTTGATTGTCTTTTTAGACGTTTCTAACTTAACAGCTAAAATATTGTAATGAAACAGGAGTTAAGATTTTGTTGTCTGTTATTTCTAATTAAAAAAAAGCAGTGTGTGTATTTTGGATATAAATACAGAACTTTGTGTGTTGCATGCTCAAACTCACTAATAGTATCCAATATTTTGATGTTTTTAACACATTCATTCTTTCTAATTCTAGGCAAAAGGTTTTGTGAATTATTATGGACCTCAGCGGTTCGGACAAGGACAAAATGTTCAGACAGATCAAATAGGATTGGCTCTACTGAATGAAAAAATGGTATTTTCACTGTGTGATTTAAATACTTACTGTCAAGTTCATTTCATGTTATAGTTGCCATATCTGGTGCTCAGTGCTGACCTTCCCAGTGAGCAATTTCATTTGTGAGATGAACCCATATGTGTGCTGGAAGTAATTGCCAAATCAGTTTTGACAACAGAAGCATGAAAACCTTCCTTCTGAGTTAGAAAAATCTGTTTTAATCAGCAGGTGTAGCTGTAAGCTGTTCAGGAATTGATTCTTCTGTCTGTAACGTGATTGTCACCATGCCTCTTCTCAAGGAAGTGGTTGCATTCTTACAAAGGTTGAACACTAAAATGAAGCTATATTTATACAGTGCTTATCTGGGGTCCTTTTTGCTTCCTAACCTGTAAACTCTTTAACCCACTGGAGGTCTGTACTCTTACAAATGTGGCAAGATACTACATAGGACCAAATGAAAGGATTTGCTTTTGCAATACCATGCTAATTTATCCGCTGTATAGCAGAGATTTCTCCTTTTCATAATTCCTTGGCTACTTTCCCAAAATCTTAGTTCTGAGTAAATATTCCCTGTAAGCTAAGGAGACCTTACTTCTTTAAGTAATCATTTGTAAGTTAGGAGTCATATACTTTTCAGTGTATGTAGCATGGTGTTTGGCTCAGGTTTAAAACAGAATCAAACTCTTAAAAGTCAGATGAATACTTGAGTATCCTCTTCCTCTAATCTTGTTTTGATTCTGAGAAATCAGGAAAATTTATCCTGCAAATATAGGGAGAATCTGACATTTTGCATGTTAATATTAGCAGTTCACACACGTATCAATTCCTGCAGAGTAATGATGTAAGTATCCAGTTTTAACTCAGTTACTTTTGAATTTAAAACATGCAGAAACTACTATTTGTATTTAAAATGTACCAATATATGCTTGCACAGTCCAGCGCAGAGGAAGACAAGAACAAAATGTTAATAAAACAGATAAATAGTGATAGTCACAAGTTGATTTTTGTGGCAGCAAATTGATTCTCTCCTGGTTGCAAGTAGCAGGGGTTAGCTTAATGTTTTCCCAGTTGCAGTGTCAGATCAGTATAAAAGCAATTGTTGCCTCTCTGTGTGAGACTGTGGGAAGTGCTGTGTCTGTGTTACATGCTGGAGGAAAAGAAGAGGAAGGAATCTTCCAGCTCAGTATAGAATTATGGCACAGATTTGTATGCACTGTTGTCTGTTTTGTTGAGAAATGGTTATTTTTAAATGCAATAAATGTAAATTATGTTTTTTAAAGGTGAAAGCTGTAAAATTATTCTTCACACCTGAAGATACTGATGACCCTGTAAATAATGCCAAAAGATACTTTCTTCAAACTGGTAAGGCCACTTAAATTATCTATAACTCTATTCATTGTAGTACCACGAGAGAATGAAGTGTTGCTGCACAGAGTGACACTTCTTATTTTGCTGCCTCTATACTACTTATAGCTTATTCCAAGGAACTCATTAGAATTTCATATCTAATTTTTGAAAATAAGATCCAAGTCAGGCCTTGGATGTGCAAATCTAGTGGAATACTACTGTATTTCAAGTGCAAGATGGAGCAGAAACCAATATAGCAGTCATTTTTTTTTAAGCAATTTTGGCCTGCTTCAGTCTGTTTTCTTTTGAAATATAATTTTTCCTCTCTAATTTAAAAGGAAGTATGGAGAATGAGGCACCTAACTTGCACTCAGCACTTAACATGGGTGGGCATCTAATTTTCAGAATTTTCTATATTAATCTTATATCTTGTTTTTTGCATCTTTGGGCCTGACTTTTATGTCTTTTTAATTACTTATCTTCTTCCATGCTTTCCCATGATCCACAGTCTTTTGTTTTTTTATCTGAATTTAACAAAACATACCAAAGACACAGTGTGCTAAGTAAAATGCTCTTTGTCATATTCATTGTTGTCATCATTCAAATTAACTTTCCCTCCAAAACTAGAAATTTTGAGTTGCTCTTGACTTCAGATGCTTGATCTTTTGAAATCTTCTTCAAGTTAGCCTGCATATCGTTGTACATTGGTAGAACAGCTACAGTGTATAGCTTGAAGAGGCACAGATACTTTGCACAGATACTTTGCACAGATGAGATGATTATTCTGTGCCTTACATTGCTATATGGTGTATTGAAAGACATTGGTGCAGACTCTGAAAACAGCAGCGTGCCTTTTCGTAGAAGCAAAAGGCTGTGCAATGGCTCCTTCAGATAATCACTCTCTAGAAGAAAAATTAAGAAGGAAAAATATGTAAATGTTTAAATTTTTATGTTTTGCATAATATAGTACAAATAGGATTAAATTTAATTTCATTGTGGTTAAGGCTCAGACCTGAAAATAAAGAGGTTATCATCATTTTTCTTCTGACCTATTTAATCTGTTTAATGTGTTTTTCTTTTCCTGACAGGAAGTATTAGAAAAATCAATGATAACTTATGTGGTTATTTTTGTTTATCTCAGAAGATGCAAAGGGGACACTCACAATGCTGCCAGAATTTAAAGTGAGAGAGAAGATGCTGTTACGTGCCTTACATCGCTACGGTGTAAATCAAGAAGGCTGTACTAAAGGATGGCTCAGTATTCCTCATTCAATGCGCATATTCTACGTCCATGCTTATTGCAGTCAAATATGGAATGAAGCAACATCATACAGGCTGAAGACTTATGGTTCCAAAGTTGTTGAGGGTGATCTGGTCTTCTCAGAAGAAAATGATGAAAGCCTTTCCCTGAATGACAAGGTGAGTTTTTACAAAGTAGTTCTTGTAAAGAAAAATTTGCTTAATATTTCTGTATTCAATTACTTGAATACATTAAGGTGTCAGACAATAATCGAGTGCTTTCATTTTGATTTGTTCATTTAAATACTTAGTGACAAAGGTGAAAAAAGTGAGCATTTCAATTTGAATTACCACCAGTAGATATATGTTCTAGATGTATTTTAATAGCTCTTGTCTATTTTGACCATTTGTTTTATTCAACAGAGGAGGAGAAACAGAATGGCAAAGTTGATGTAAGAACTTAGCCTGCATGGTGTCTGATGCTCTTCTTAGGACCTTGCTGGGGAAAACCTTCAGGCTGAACCTATGTTCCTAGAATCATAGAATGGTTTGGGTTGTAAGAGCCCATTAAGATCACCTAGTTCCAACCCCATGCTATAGGCAGGGACACCTCCCTTGAAACCAGGTTGCTCAAAGCCCCACCCAGCCTGGCCTTGTATGCTTCCACAGAGGGTGCATTAACAACTTCTCTGGTCAGTCTGTCTCAGGGTCTCACCACCCTAACAGTGAAGAATGTCTTCCTAATATCTAGTCTGTATCAGCTCTTTTCCAGTTTAAAACCATTTTCCCTCATCCTGTTGCTACTGTTATCAGTCAGTGTAGATCTGAGTGTTGTTCTCAAGGTTAGACCTTACCATTCTTTCTGTGGAGGCATTTAACTTTCTCCTAATCATAAGGTAAAGCATAGAATTTTGCAGCGTTTTACTGGAAAATGAATGGAGTTGTGCTTAGGTAAAATGCATCTCCTTTCTTGAGTGGAAATTCTTATAGATACTAAGCAAGAGTACTTCAAAGGTTACTGAACAATTTCCGGTCCCTGAAAAGGGTAACTGTTTCCATTGTGATTTTTCTTCAATAATGTTTTTGGGAAAAGATGTTAATAAACCAAGTATGAAAAACAGAGCTGCCAAGCATTGTACTAAGTTACTGAGTTTAATATATATTCCTATTTAATGTAATACGTTCCAATTCATTTTTTTTCTTTTGATGATGTTAACACAAGACTGTAGCTCACTTTATATTAAGCATCTGTAATATTTTTAGATTGAAATAGATTATTTGCCTTTACAGTAGTCAAATAACATCAAAATCCTTTAAAATTTTAGGAGTTCAGTCTGTGATTCCTATAATAATTTCTGTTTTATTTCAAGAAAGTTTGTTTTTCTTAACATCTCTTTACATGTGTTGTCAGGTTCATGTTGTCACTGCTCTGGAAGAGTCAGCTAACAAGTACTCTATACATCAAGTAAGTCTGTATGAAAAATTCTGTGTTGTTGATTTCTATTTGATTAAAAGTTTTTTTTTTTTTTTTTTAAAGAATATGATAAAATTAACTGGTGCAGTCTCATTTCCTACCAGAATGAATACTGAAGAAAATACGTGTGAATTAAACTGCACTCTGAAAAGTGCAGTTTAACAAGAAGAGAAGAATGCTTACTTTGTAGTGGAAGTTAGTACAATGTCATTTGCAGTATGGTAGCACTTTCCTTGGAGTTTAATGTAAATATTTCAAAATTTTTTTTAGTCTATTTCTGGGAAAAATGCTCAAAGTCACTGACATAATTTTTGAACGTTCAGAGCATCATGAAGTCATACATATGCAACTTAATGTCTTCTTTGCTGTACCTTTCCCAGCAAACTAGGTGATTCATGTTAGTGTACTTCTAGTTCATTTTAGAAATCATGACATATTTATTATTTTGTTCTGTCTTTCCCTTAAATTACATCCAAGATACCTGCCTTGCACAGTTGTTTTTAGAAAAAGTAGCTGCCTTTTAACTATTTCAGGCCCCCAACACATTTAAAATTGTAATCATATTTTTTAAAGGGAAATCACTGAGCTTTATTTTATTTTATTTTTTTGAAGGTTGTTCTTCCAATGGTGGGCCATAGTATCAAGTATCCAAGTAATAAAGTTGGGCAGTGGTACTGTGAAAGACTTTCTAAGGATGAGCTGCAGATGTGCAAATTCCGAGTGCCTCCATTGCAGCTGAATATACCTGGGTGCTACAGACACATCTTGAAAAATGTTCAGAATCTTTCCTATTTTTTGGAAGGCAGTGAAGAAGGAAGCAAAGTTGAAGACAACCATCTGAATGAGTCAAAAGTGTCTCTTCATATATCATTTGACCTCGATCCTTCATGCTATGCAACAGTCTGTCTCAGAGAAATAATGAAATGTGACTTTTAAGATTTCAGTTAATGAAAGACTGCATGAATTTTATACCAATGGTTATATTTTTGTATAATGCAAATAATAATAATAATAATAACAATAATAAATCACAATTTCAAATCAGAAACAGAAAAAATTAATAGATTGAGATTCATACTGACTGGGGAAGAAAACCACCAGAATCCCAGTTCCAGAAACATTCCAAACCCTAAATGCAAATCTGGAGTAAAAAATGCAAAGCTATGTGTCGTGTCAGAGAGGTTTAACAGAACTTAAAGAAGCTGTGGGCTGCAAGCATGAATTTCACACTTGCACAGAAAACCAGCTTGCAGTTATGTCCTGGAAACATGTTTGCAGCAAACAGACGTATCTTTTATTTCACAGTCACTTTTTAAAAGCTGATTGATACTAAATATTCAGGGACAGTGAGTAGCAATTATGTCACAAGTTGTAACCTACAGGAATGGAGCCAAGAAGCTGCTGTACTGGGATTCACTGAATTTGTTTTGTTTTCATTGCATTCTCGTACCAAGTGCTAAAGGTAGAAGTCCTGAACCAAGAGTAACAGATTACCTGTCACACTGTCAGTCATTTGAATACTACAGTTTAAATTAATGCTGATGATTCCAGGACTACGTTGTACATAACTTTCTAGATAGTGCTTATTCAAGTAAGCTCAGTAAGATGAGGTGTGTAATTAATATAATTGCAAAAGAGTTCATAGTAAAAACCAAACCCTGATTTATTGTATACAGGGAGGAGATTCTATTCCTATTACTGTAAGGTCTTATGGTGACAAAGACTTTTTAATGGAACCACTTCTGGAAAAAAAAAATAAAAACTTTTATATTCTTTCCTATTTTATATTTTAAAAGTTAACTGTGATAAAATGAGTGCATCTGTGGACAAAGGAAGAACAAAGAATGTAATTTACCTTGACGTTTCAAGACTATTCTTGTAGCAAAGTTTAGAGGTGTTTTCTAGATGGGTTTACAAATGAGATAAAACAAAAAAGCAATTGGAGGAGGTTAGAAGAATAGTGGTTAATGAATGGGTCATGTCCTAGTTGGAGTGAATACCCTAGAGGTCTCTCCTGGGGGGTCTGTGCTATTTAGTGACTTTGTCAGTGACCTGGAATGGGGCATGGAGTTCACCTTCAACAAGTTTGCAGTTCACACCAAGATAAAGAAACAAAGGGAAATACTGGGGAAATCTGTCTGTCTTTTAGGGGGACATAGACATGTTGGAAGAATGTACCAATAGGAACCTTATGAGAGTTAAAGAGGAGAAATGCGAAGTGCTACCCCTGGGAAGAAAGCACCCCTGCAGCAGGCCAGGCTGGAGTGCAGCAGCTATGTGGAAACGGCAGTGATCAGCTGAGCACGGGTCAGCCATGTATCCTGGCAGCAAAGACCTCCAGCAATCTCCTGAACTCTGTTAGCAAGGACAAAGCCAATAGGTCAAAGGAAAGATCTAATTTTTCTGCATGTTAGATCACATTTAATTCCTATGCTCAACTTTTATCCCCAGCACAACAAAATATGAGTTTAATGAAGAACTCCCAAGCTAGATGGGGGCTGAGCACTTGTTCTTGGAGGAAAGGCTGAAGGAGCTGGGCTTTCTCAACCTGGAGAGAAAACAGGTTTGGGGTGGGGTTGGGAAACCAACAACAGCTCCCACTACCTGTGTGGAGTTAGCAAGAAGATGGCACCCAGCTTCACAGTGATGCTTGGTAGAAGGAGACATAAACAGGCATAAACTGAAATGAGAGGTTCAGCCTGGTTATAAGGAAATACTATTTTTCTGTACAAAGACAATGGGAGCAATGGACCAGTGTGTGCAGTCTTCAACCAAGGAGATTTCCACAGCCTAACAGAGCTCTGAGCAAACTGGTCTGATTTCAGATGCAGCCCTGCCTGCCTTAGAGGGCAGAGATCACTTCCAGCCTCAATTACCCTGCTATTCTAAGCAGAGTGGTGTGTCTATTCTAGCTGTAGATGGCAGCATGACTTAAAAGTAGAATGGAAAACTCTACCCATTTTTACTGAGAGAATTAATATCATGAATTTTGTTTACGGCATCAGTCTTTCAGTTGTTGGAACAGTGAAGCAAAGTAAGTCTCCAAAGGTTGATAAACCATTTATTTATGCAACTTTTATAGAAATACAACTCCCATGATTTCAAAGCTTGCATAAAACTGTGTAGCAATGACAAACCTGGATATTTCATATGCTTTAAATAAGAGGATTATTCTGTAAGTCTGTGTAAGTCATTCAAAATTTGACCCTTAGCTTTAGTATGGGAAAATAGATTGTCATGCAAACAATAGCTGCAGAGCCTCTGGGGGCAACTTAGAATGCTTGCTCTATTACAGTGCTTACTTTACACCTCAGTTTTTTGGTATGCATCCAAACTGACTGAAAAATCCATTTCTGTGGCACAAGCCAGCCAAGACAGCTTCATTCCCATCTTTGCTTTTCAGTATCACCTCTTCTGTCTTCCGCCTGCACTTAAAAATATTATTCTTCTGTAAAATTATTTTTAATTTTACAGAATCATTTTGCTACAGTGCTGTTCAAAAAGAGTTGTCATCACTCACGTATTAAAGTGCAGACAAGATGTTGCATGCAGTCACTACAACCAGAAGAAAAAAACTGGCTCTGAAAGTCTACATAAACTACTGTGGTCTTCTTCCACGTAGCTCAAAACAGCCTTGAAAACTGTCTCATCACAAACAAGATTTGAATACACAGCATTAAAAGTTGATCCTTGATTTGGAAAGATGTGAAAGGTCAGATTAAAACATTTTTGACTGAAGGCATTCTATTTAAAAATAAAAGATCAGAAGATGGTGCTAACAGAGTTCCTCTATAATCAATTTAGGCTCATTTGTCAGTGCTACTATTGAACACTAAAAGACCTAATCTTCTTAAGCAAATCATTCTTTCAGCAACTTTATGTGAAAGAGCTAATTAAGTGTGTCGATGGGTTAAATTCCTTTAAGATAAAAATTCTAGTAGGGAAAAGTCAGGTTAGCTATTAGAGTGCTTATATGCTAAACATCCTGATTATTTCTGTGGGCATTTATTGCTAAATCATTCTCTAAATCTCACCAGCTTTTTGCAGGATTACGTACACGAACTGTTGAATTAAGGACTTTTGTATGAGTGCAGTACTCAGCTTTTTAAGGCTAATCTACAGAAGTAATACAGCTGTGTCCCTGCGTTTGGAAAAGAAGATAATCACTGTGTACTGATCTGAGTTTAAGGAAAAGATTGATGTCTTGGTGATCTCTCATCTTACTAAGTACTTCTATTGCCACCATCCTTTTCTGATAAGCCTCAAAGCACTTTGCTAATACTAATGAACACAGGTCTCTGACTCTGTTTCTAACAAAAGGGGTTTTAAGTTCAATAGCCAGTTGATTTTTTCATCGGATGTGATAGGTGATCAAGCATTTGAATGGGAAAGAATGCAAATGTTCTTAAGCTGTGAAATCCTGTAACTTTTAATTTGCTTTGAATTTGATGGGTATTATGCTCAATAAGAATATACAAATTTTCAGATCTTCCAAAATGAGATGGATTAAAATTACATTCTTATCATAAAAACAGCTCAGAAGCCAGGTAGATATGTGAGTATTGGCCCAATCCATTTATCCAACCCTATTATCTCCTCTCTTAGTGTTGGCATCTGTCAGCTGATGATCTGATCCGTCACACCAAGCTGATGAGCACAAACTCCTTTCTATTCCCTTGAACAATTTCTGCCCATTATAAAAGCTCAAGGAATCAAGCTGAGAAACTATTAACACTTTCCTTTCTCTCAGTACCCAGCCGTGCCTTCCAGCACATCGGTTCCTTTTTAAAAAAGCCAAAAAGTGAGCTTCAGCTGCACACCAGGCCCACTTTACATTCAGATAGAGGAACAAGGGTAAAAAACAGAGGTTGATAATTTGGGCAGCTTCAAACCCTGCACATGAGTGTGTTCCATTCTGAAGCCTAGACAACATTAAGTACAAAGTGAAAAAAACTGAATCATTTTGAAGGTGGAGGGTCCTCAATACTCCAAATATCTTCATCTGCTTCTGTTGCACCTAATAGCTTGTTCATGTGGCATTAGTCGAGCATGTCGTGTTTGCAAAGAAGCAGAATCGATGAAATCCTGTTCACAGCATCAAGCAGAATTTTCTTCATTCCTCTTGGTGGAAGTCAGAATCTTGTATTACAGCAGTTGAAATGTGTTTTCAGCTTTTACACCAGTGCTTTTACCTGCTAGGATAGTGAGGTTTTTAATAAGCTTTAGAAATGATTGATTGAAGAAAGCAAACAAAAAGATTCTATCTTTTAGAGCATTCCTGCAATTAAAAACTTAAAAGCCAAGTCAGTTCTTTCCAAGTAAATCATAATTACTCAAGCACCCACTACTTCTATCCTGTAATGTATATGCCTGTGACAGATCTCTCATTTTTCACCTCTTTAACAATATATAGTTTATGTTTATATAATTATATAGCTTAAATATCTACTCTATCATGAAATAGCTGCATAAAATGCGCATTGTAGTTACCAGTAATCTGAAGTTGAGTGGAAGGCATGAGAAATATGTTGAAGAGGGAAAGATGTGTTACGATATTTTAAAATGCTCTTTGGATGTGAATGATCTTGGTTTGGGTCTGTACTCTGCCTAGTGCAAAGTGGAAAACTGAATCCAGATTATATCATAATCTCTGAACCACTACTGCAGCTAATGCAAGTTACTGTTCATGAAGGGAATGACCAAGTTTGACATTTGTACAAAAAGTAAGAAACAATTGCTTGAAACTTGAATTTGGGAGACAAAAGGTCAAGTTCTGATCCAGATGGAAAAGACTTGGAATCCATGTGCTGTATTCACCAGATCATTGTACCACATGCAACTGGCACAGCTATAGGCCCACTCTTAGTACTTTAGGTCCTAGCAGTAAGATATCAGAAAGACTGTCCATGTGAATCCTCCTCCAGAAAAGTTTTGGGATGAGAAAATGAGGAGATATTTAGTTCATTTTCTACGTACACAGCAGCAGAACTGAGATAAGGTGGGAACTCAGACTCCTCAAGGATGTGCATATGCTAAGCAGGAAATTTGAGAGTGTTGATAATAACACAACTACTGCTGAAAAGCCAATACTCAAGAGGCAACATCTCATAGAAAATCAAGCTAAGCACTCAGTCGTCAAATATTTGGTCTGTAAGTTAGGGGTTAACTGTATCAGTTAAGAGTGCAGCTTTTTAATTCTAAATTTATATCTAAAGATCTGATATAATATGCTGAAATTGCCATAGCCAAGGAGGAAATAACCATCACTTAACAGCAGCAACGCAGAGTCATGGACTGTGTGCTTGTGATACAGACCAGCCAACAAACCAACCTCTGACTCGCCACCAGCATCCCATTGGGGTGATGCAAGCACCACTTCCATCATGCAGGCAGAAACGATGAGGAAGGTGAAGCCTGCCTCCACTCTAAGCTGCCAGAGTTCATCTGATGCTTTGTAAAGTCAGGCATTTCTGTTCATTTTGTCTAGCGTCTTTCTTGGCATACCTAGCCTGGCTGACAGCCATCCCATGAGGGCAGCTAAAAAGTATGATGGTTTTCCTGAGATAAAGGTGTTTCAGAAAAGAGACAAGGGGATCTTGTGCTAGGAGTAAGAACATGTCAGCCTCCACAGCCAGCCCAGCCCAGCCAGGCCGCAGCAGGGTTCCAGCTCCCCACAGCCCTGCCCTGCCCAGCCATGGGTCCTGCTCAGTCAGTCTCACTGTCAGGCCTTTTGACCAGCCCAGCCTCAGCTCTCTCCCAGGAAGTGTCCAGTTCTGGGACTATCCCGGTGCTTCCAACTGCTCTGCCATTGGCTGGGGTGGAGAGGCCTCCAGTGGCATGGTGCCTGACAGCCATAGCATTATCTTCCTCATAAAACATCAATGGCACCTGGTACCAACAGACCACAGAATTTCCAATAGCTTCCTTTGAAAAGCAACTTCTTTTTACACCTTGCAAATAATGCTTGTTCACTAAATGGCTGCCAAATCGCTGAGCTGAGTTATTCCAAAAAATACTGGAAAACAACAGGGTAGAATTTACTACCTTGCATGGGCTGTTAGCCCTGGCAGGACTCCTGATACAGACACTGCTTATCTCCTACCAGTGTTTCCAAAACAAAGAGTAGATTTCTGTTTCACAACATTTTCACAGAAGCACACACTCAGGTACTTTAGCAATGCCTCAAGTAGACCATTAGTTTCTTATTCTCCCAGAATATATTCTAGAATGTCACTGAAAATTAGCTCTCAGCTATCTGCTTTTCCCAAGGAATTTCATTTCAATTTAATTTCAAATCAAAATCTCTCACAACAACAGAGAGTTCTGCACCTCTTGTTTACTCAGGTTGCCACACCCAGGCTGAGTGAGTAATACAAATTCAGGGCCTCTATTACCTGAGTGGAGAATAAACATTTGGGGTGCATGCTTTCTATGACTGATCTAAGAGAATGGTGATGAGAAGATGATTTGGGAGGCTGGTGTGACTGCACTGTCAGAAGGAACTATTGACAAGATTGATCCTTTGCAGAGATATGTTGGGAAAGGCAGGAATTCCAGGAGAGAGATGGCCTAAGAAGGAAGCAGCTCTTGTAACAGAGTGGTATTGGAAAGTGAATGTGAAAAGAGAATGTCAGTAAGAGAATAAGAGAATTACATCTTGCTTAGATAAATTGGCATAGACATATTTAACTCAATATTTCTCTACATACATATGCCAGATTAGCATCTGGCTTGTACTGACCCACTATTGTCTTTGCTTGAGAGAAGAAAGCCAGCTTCTGAAACAGCAATTGTGTCATAAGCTGGGGTAAGAGTAATGGAATCAACAGTACTTAACAGGACTTGAAAAGATGGGATAACTGCTGGAAACACTGGGTATTGTGGAAAGTAAATGCTAATGGACTTGATCTGATATTGCCTTGCAATTTATGGGGGTATTTGTCCCTACTCCAGAAATGATGAGATCAGAGTTTTGCAGCAGTGTCACGGCAGGGTGAGTTGCCATGCACATCTGAAACGTGCTTAGAGACACTGTGGTTGTTGGCTTCAAACACTTCAGGTCAGATCCTTGTCAGCTTGACTGACAAGAGCCAGTTGAGATAATACAGGGTATATATAGCACAGAGGGGTGTGGGCT